CCGCGCCGCACGACTGAGACAAGACAGGACAAGCCGCGGCCCCGGGTCCGCACATTGGCGGGGGTACCGGCGGAGGGCCGACGGCGCTGCGGCTCACGCGACGGCGAATGGCTGCCGGCGGCCGCGCCAGCTTCGCCGCAGACGCGGCAGCGGCCACCTCGCCCAGAGGGCCAAGGCGTCTCTGGCTCGCGCCGCGTGTGACACCCCAAGGGCGACCAGCGATTGACTGACGCCACATAGCGAAGAGGAAGCCACTCCGCGAAGCTCCCCTCTCACCGACTCAGGGCTCACGCCAGTAAGCCAGTCCCCGAAGCTCCCCTCCCACCGACTCAGGGCTCATGCCGGTACGCCAGTCCCCGAAGCTCCCCTCTCACCGACTCGAGGCACACGCCAGGGCCCACAACGACCCACGTCCGACCGAAGGTCACGCACCCGGGCGGGGGCCGACCCGACCCCGCCCGGTCACGCAGCGGACGCGGGTCACGGGGAGCTGACCCGGCCGCCAGCAGGGGCCGAACGCAGCCGACGCGCGCGACCCACTTCTCTCGCCGGAGCAAGGTTATCTCATGTCATCTGGCCGGTTCTCACCAGCCGTCGCGGTCAGCTGGCTCTGCGACCAGCCGAACCTGCGCGGTGTCGACGAGCGAAATTCGGACACCGGAACGACCTAATGCCTCGGCGGGCGGTACGTCCATGCGTCAGCTGCACACGGGCCTTTAAGAAGTCTGCACAAACAAGGCCGATGATCACGGGCCTGGTAGACTGGATTTTCCGTGCCGCTGCTTTGTTTACGGCCGAAACTTTGCCGGCGCTTAGTTACGCACATCTCATTAACGAAGCTAATCTCGCAGCCGGCGAGCGCGGCGCCCCGCGGGCTGCGCGGCGTCGCAACCGCTACACCGCGCTTACTCCTCCCCCCAACGAGGACCATATCATGCCACCTTCACCCTGCTGGCTCCAAAATGCTGCGGCCAAACATGGAAACAGCCCGGTACTGCAGAGCGGCATCAGTTCCCCGCCACCGACTCAGATCACCGTTGGCCCCCCACGAAGGACGAGGCCGTCGAAGCCGAGACGGCGCCGCGATCCATCAGCGTCCACTAGCACTTCACCGGCCCTGCGGCGGCCGTCGAACCGGGGCGGGGTCGGCGGCCGCGGCACGTCACTCAGACGTCGACTCCGACGGCCCGGCCGCCGGCCGACGGAGCGCGCGGAGCCGGCCCCGGTCCCTCGCGACAGCGACGAGAATATTCGCGTCGGCGCGCAAACCGACACGGTTAACGGCGGTCGCATTCGCTTTCGTTTGGGTTTAATACTGCCCACATGACGAGGAAGATGTCACCCAAACAAATCAGACCACCCAGAACAAATCAGAGCGACGGGCGTTCCCACTGCTGATCGTTAAAACAGCACAGCTTGGCATCACATCTGGAGGCAGCTCCTCCCCTTTCAAAACCACCCGTCCACGCTTTTCTGTATCTTCGCTGACGTCTCCCGCCTCCGCTGTGCCCCGCGGCAGCCTACCCAGCGCAGGCGCCTTCACCTCGCGCGGGGGCCGGCTTTCGCCACCGTGACGTCAACCGACCGCAGCGCGTGGCCGGTGCCGGCAGCAGGCGGCTCGCACCTCACGGTCCGTCTCCACAACACGGCGCTGGCGGGGCGCGCTACGCGGGCCGTCCGTCAGCCGGAGCAGCGGCGCCGACAGGCCGACAGCGTGTCGTCGGCGCCGGCGCTGGCGGCGCACACACGCCCCCTGCGGGCCGTAGCCAGCGCCGGAGCGGCCGCCGTCCGCACGGCGCGAGGGGCGGAGGCGGCGCCGTCTTCTCTGCCCTTCAATTACCGGCACGAGCGTGTCCGGTCTTCCGCGAGCGGCTGTCGCCCCGGACGCGTGGCGCCGCCCAGCCGGCAGGCGGCCGTGCTCCCGGCGGCGGCGCGGCGGCACCTTTCTCCGCGCGCGGCGCCGGCCGGCCGGTGTCGGCGTCCGTGACCACCGACGCCGTCGCCGCCGGGCCGGCCGACAGCGGCTCCGACCCGCCGACCTTCCCAGCGGCGGCCGCTCGTCGACGGACGACCGGTCCCGCCGGCCGCCTCGCGCCCGTCAGCAAAGGGTCAGGCGCCGTAGGTGCCGCGGGGGCGGCGGCAGCGGCGCGGACGATGGCGGGGGCGGGGCGGCGCGGCAGACCCCGCCGGGACGGCGGTGAGCGCTGCCCGAGCGCGCGGCTTCGACGGCGCGGCTGCCGGGTCTCGCAGCAGCACGGGTGGGCAGCGGGAGAGGCCGGGTTGGACGCCGGCCCCTGTCGCGGCTCACCGCCCGCAGCAGTGTGCAAGAGTCATCAGACCGACACATCTAATCCCCGCTTTCTCTGAACAGTCAGCCTGTCCTGGTTTACCTCAGAATGTCCGTTTCCGCCTTCACTCTTCAGCGACTCGCACAAAGGACAATGCCAACTGAAGAGCACTCGATTTCTACCTACCGCTCCCGTTAACGTGCCCTCTCCCCCCCCCCCCCCCCCCGTAGAATACCCGACTGTGCCGAATGTTCAAAACTTAACCGACATTGCACTCAGTCCCGGACAAAACAGCCCAAACTCGGAAAGCAAACACAGCCGCACCTTATCTCCATCCCGCTCACACACATTATTTCAAACCAGTCGGCCGACGGACAAGCGCGTTTTTGTTGGATTAGCCCACGTCCGGCCCTTTATCGCACCACACACCGAACAAGAGTCGGGAAACCCGTATCTCTATGACGTCATCGCCCGCCGAGCGCGGCGGCGCAGTCTCGTTCGTTCGTGCAGGCGGCGGCACGGCCGAGCCCAGTTCCCGCCAGCGCAGCGGCCAAATTCGGGAAGGCGCCGCCGCCGCCGCCGCGACCGGACACGAGCCCCTTGGCCGGGTTACATCCGGGAGTCCAGAGTCAGCCAGAGTTACATCCGGGAGTCAGAGGCGGCTCACGGGGCTGTTCAGCCCAGCCGCAGCGCCTGGAACGCTGCAGCAGCAGCAGCAGCGGCGGCCGAGGCGGCGTCAAGCAGCCGCGAACAGCAGCGGCGGCGCGCACGCCCGAGAAAAGAGCGCAGCATGTCCCGGCCGGCAGCGCGGCACACGCGTACTTCCCAGGTGCCTCTCCCGAGCAAGCACGATGGAGAAAGGGGGGGGGGGGGGGTCGGCGCAAGCCAGCATCGCGCCCACACGCGCAGCTCGGGTTATTCCACAGCGGACGCGGCCTGCCGATGCGCCGGCTGATACGATGTGACGTGCCGCCCGCCAGACGATGCAAGGCCAGGCGGGCACGCGGCGCCGCGGTCTGGCCGGCGGCCGCAGGTCCGGCTCCGGCTCTCAGGCGCCCGCCGCCGGCAGGCGCTGATTGGCACTGAGGCTGTCGCTGAGTGGTAGGGCGTCACGGAGCTGACGGCCGCTGGCAAGCAGGAGCGTCGCCGCGGACTGTCTCCCGGCGTGCTTGCATCGCCACTCCACATTCCGGCGTGGCCGCCTAATGGAACTTTCATCGCGCATTCATTAGAACTAACGGGCCAAACTAGATGGCGGGGTTCACGGTGTCCCAATTATCCCACATGCAGGGAACCCGGGTTCTGGACGAATGGACCAAACGGCAGCCTATGCTGGGTGCACTCAGTGCACCTGTGAGAGAGCAGAGATCGCCGCTGAACCATTACCGGGTCCACTGCTTCTTTTCCTCGCGTCATTTCGCTGCAACAGCGGGTCGGCAATTTCCTGTTGCCACCACGTTGGCATGCAGATGTCAGCGGTCACGTCGGCGTTCCCCACGCGGGGAGCCCGAGCACACCCTATCCCCCCCCCCCCCCCTCCTCCACTCTCCCTCACAGTGCCCGATCGCCGGCGGGCGCGGCGGGCCGACTCGCGCCATTCATCGCCGGGCACCTCCGCGTCCGGAGGTTGATTTATTGCGGCAGATGTTCGACGGCAGCGGGCCGGCCAGCGGCCGAAACACGAGCTCATCCCGGCGGGCCGGCGCCCGAGCGGCCGGACCGGCGCGCTCAGCCTCAGCCGGGTACGTCCGGTCGCCGGGGTGTCTGAACCAGACTGGAGTGACATCTCGAAGCCACCGAGAGCATCGATGACATGACCGCAACAGCAGCGGGGCGTGTCAGAGTGTCTTGCATACACGGGCGCCATGTTCCTATGCAATGCGATATTCCTTCCGGCTGCCAACCACCGGCGGCAAGTCTTCTGCCGGCCAGACACCGTCACCGGTCAGCCGCCCTTCTCAGAGATCACGGCCAGGTCCATTTCATCACGCCATTAGTGTGTCGGGGGCCCGAGCCAACCGCCGTATAACTCACGTTCAACAGCTGGGGCCGTGCCGACAGCTGAGGCGGCGACTCCGTAATGGCCCCCGACCCGGCCATCCCGACCCACCCTCGACCCCGCCGAGCCGACCTGACCCTGAATCCCGCCGACCCAACCCCTGAACTCCGCCGACCCAGTCCTGAGCCCCCCGCCAACCCACCGTTGACCCGCCGACCCACCCCTGAACTCCGCCGATCCAGTCCTGAGCCCCCGCCAACCCACCGTTGAACCCTGCCGACCCAGTCCTTGAATCCAACTGCTCGGCTTAAAGAGGTGCACCAGCGACACGGAACCAAGTGTGACTATCGGCTTCCAGGAAAGGGTCAAAAGATTGTTAATATATTAATTAATGTAATGTATAATATAAGACGTTAATATATATATATATATATATATATATATATATATATATCCCGACCAGCGTAGCTGGTGTGACGTAAAAACAGCGTCACCATTTCACCGGATGCCTGTCGCGCCAACGCCGGCCAACACGCACCCAATGCGCACGGTTCTAGCTCGGTCCTCGCGACCCCAGGAACGAACTGCCCCAGATCTGACCCCTCCTTACGCCACGCCAGCCGTCTGTCGCTGGGCCGCGCTCCGGCAAGCTGCAGACACCGCTCCCCCCACCCGTACCCCGTGACCCCGACTGACCTGGAGGCGGTCCGAGTGGCGGGCCGCTGCTCCGTCCGGACGGGTGGCGCCGGCGCGCGGCGGGCGGCGGCGGCCGGTCGACGGCCGGCTTCTGCACCGCCGCCTCGTCGTCGCTGTCCTCAGACAGCGTCAGGTCATCCGACAGGGAGCTGCAACGGCGACGGCGGCGTCATCGACGGCGTCCACAGCGCGGCAGCAGCACGGCGGCGAGGCGGCCATCGGCGCAGACCCCGCCCGCCAGAGCCGCGCCCGGGGGGCGGCAGCGGAGCATCCGGCCCCGACATCGCAGACGCTGCGCGGCCGATGCAGCGCCGGCCGAGACGGCGGCGAGAGCCGGGCTTCGAGAGCGGACCAGAGGAGGGAGGCACAGCCGCCCACGTCCGTCACGGGAGAATGGTGACGGGCCCGAAACCGGGCCACTGGAGTCGGCACGCCTGAGCGGAGACGTCGCCTACGATTGACGACAGATGCAGGAAGACAGGTGCAGGAACAGTTGACAGGCGTAGATGAAGCCGCGGCGTCCGAAGGGGTGACGCCATAGCTGTGTCCCCTGAGTGAAAATGTTGGCGGGGGTTGGCGAGGGTTGGCAAGGGTTGGCAGATGCCATAGGGATGGCATGGAAGGTTGGCAGAGACGTCAGGGCGGTGAAGAGCCACATCAGGGGTTCCGGGAGGTCATAGATGAGACGGCTACAGTGGCCACCTGTGTTACTAGGGGCGGAATGGGGGGGGGGGGGGGGATGGCGGTCAGGGCAAGGGCCAATTTCCAGGCGCCTGGGCGTCTCCCCGACGACTGGGCAGACTGCTTACAGTATAACGGCGGCCAGAAGCATCACGAACTGGCAACCACCAAACATCGAGGCCCTCTGTCGGGCTCCTTGACCGATAACAGCAGGTTCGCCGGGAGGCGGCGCCCCCAGTCGGTCTAGGGAGGTGCACGCTGGCGTCCGTCCGAGCCCCACTGCAGCCTGACTCATAGCTGTCGGCACCAGCCGCCTGCGCCCCGCGCGCTCGTCTGCCACCGAAGATGGGCTCCCCGGGTGGCCAGCCGGGTCACAAGCGCCTCCATGTGCCCATACTTTAAAAATAGATATGGGATTTTGTGTATCTGACTACTGGACCGCGAGCCCCGCTGCTCTGCAGGACTCAGCGTCTGGCTGTAAATAGCAAACGCTGTCAAGGATCTTGCAAGCTCCGAAACAACACCCCGCTGAAAATGGTGGCGATAATATCACAGGAGTCAGGAGTCAGGAGTCAGGGGTCAGGACTCACAGGCTCGACCAAACACTTCGTCAATGAGTTGTCACCGGTTCACGCTGCGCATGCCATTTCGCACACGATTTCATCGCACCCGACCCCATGGACCGCACGTACATGTCTGAACCCACAGCTCTCACACACCGCGCCCCCACCCCGGCACGCCGCCGCCGACGATAGTCAGTGGCGGCGCAACACTCACGGTTTGGCTCCCGACGACGCCGGCGGCCGGCCGGGCAGCGCCGCCGGCGGCGGCGGCGGGAGGCGGCGGTGGCGGCGGCGGCTGTCGGATGCGTCGCCGCTCCTCCTCCCGCGGCGTGGACTCGCGCGAACCCGCTGAAACGAGCGTCACCTTCGCCGTGAACGAGCCCGGGCCGTGTACACGCACCCGCCAGCGCCCCGAGCGTCCCATCGTCGACGAGCGTGCGTCGCACGCTGTCACCAGCTCATCGCGCTCGCCAACACAGCCGCCAGGCGCCGGCCGGCCACCGCCACGTCGCAAAAGTTAAAAAATCAATGGTTGCTCGGCTTCGTAACCACTGAAAGCCCCGTGAACAGGTTAACTGCGCACCGCCTCAGGCGGCGGCGGCGGCGTCCGCAGGTGCGCCGTCCACCGCCCGGTCACCGGGGCAACGGCAGTGCTGATCGTGAACGCGCTGCACCTGTGCGCGCCCTTCCCCGCCCCCGGGGGTGCAACACGGTGTCACAGCGTGAACACTGGAGTGTGCATGGGAGAACACTGGGCGCTGCGGATGTCAAGGCCAAGCCCGACCTCGGTCAGTAACCTGATCTTCACGGCTGGGAAGTGTCAGATGCTTTGAGACAGCAAATATGGCCATGCCATAAATGCTATGCCAACCTTGCGGTAGTCCACAATAAAAAATGTCCCACAAGCACTGTAGGTGCCAGCATGGACACGTCCCGAACGTGCCGTCAGGGATCATCGGGGCCACTCCCAAGGCTCACGACGCAGACCAACAATAGCCGCATCACCGAAATCGGTAGCCCTCGCTCCTCTCAGCAGCGCTGCTGCTAAGGCAGCCGGCCGGGCCTGGCCAGGCCGGGCCGCCCCATCGCGTCACGTTCCTTTTCCAGCCAACATCAACACGGCAGGCACCCCATCCTCGGCCACAGCCCAGTGCTCAGGCAATGCAACCCGATCCCTAAGTGTTGAGACGCTGGACCGCCCATCCGCCCACCCCGTGACCCCGGCCTGCTCTACCCACACGACTCCTGTGATCCAAGGACACGAACACACGGGGACAACATCCGGACAACATCCGGATAGCTTCGCCAGCACCGACAGTTTCTGCCCCAGCCCCCCCCCCCCCCCCTCTAACCTCAATAAGACGTCGGTACCAGCACCCCCGTGTCGACCACAGGTCAAGTCACGGCGGCTGGCAGACCATGCCCACACCATGGCCCCCCGCGCCGCGGCCCCTGGCGAGATCGGCAGCGCCCGTGCGGAGCTGGCCACCCGGCCGTTGCCGTCGTCGCGACAGCGGTCGCACGGGCGCGCGCCGCTCGTGGCTTCGGGGCACACCGAGCGACGGTTCCGGCTGCTGTCGACGTCAGCACCGCGCCGGCCGAGGTGGGGCTGAACGCCCCCCCCCCCCCCCAACTGACCGCCGGTGTGGCGAACTATACAGCTGGACGGACGGAGGAGGAGGGGGGGGGGGGGGGGCTACGGGCGTGAGGGGGCTTTCCGGGCTCTTTACAGAACTCCAGCCCTACCTATCCTGATCTCTCAGCCACGAAGCGAGGCGCGTCAAAGGTCACCGGGTTACGGGAGGTGCAGTTTGCCGTTTAGTTTGGGTTCACCATACGGCGCCCCGTTCGGCCCCCCCCCCCCCCCCCCCCACTTTAACTCCACCTCCCCACACCAATGACCTCCCAAAATGATGACGCGAAACTGCACCGGTGCCTACAGGCGTCATGACATCGCCGGCGGCGGCCGAGACAGGACGCAGCGTCGTGCCCGAGAGACGTGTACACCGCCGGCCCACGGTAGCGTGTGTCCGCGGTGTGACGGGCTGCCACCGTGGAAAGCCAGCAGCGGGCCTCGAGAGTTCGTGGAATAGCCCCCGGGGAGCAGTCGTAGGGTACGCGACGCGACGCGACCCCGATTTCCGGCGCCGCGCTGCTGATATCAGGAGCGAGCACGGGTATAGCCTTATTTTCTGTTAGGCGACGCTGGAGCCTCCCAACTTTGAGAAGTAAGTGAGCCACGTTGGGAGAATGCCGTTTTTAGGTCATCCGACGGGTGGGTGACCATTTTCCGTGCCAAGCCGCTCAACTCGTTTTGTGAAATTACACCCCAGGCGCGAAGGCGCTCCACAAGGTGCCCCGACAGCGCCGCAGAAATACAAGGCTGAGTTGGGCAACGGCAGCCTGATCCGGTTCGAGGTGTATTGATGTAAGCCTGCTTTGATCCGAAGCCAGACCTATGCACTCACTGCTTTCACACATCAAAGTGCGCATTTGAGACAGATTGGCAGGTCCTGTGGTTATGCGCTCCCCGTCGGCACTACTCCCTTCACGCCCTCTCCGAACGCACGAACGTGGCGGCACCACCCCACTTAGCTTGCCACTCGTCTGGCAAACGTGAAGCGACGTAGTTCACTCCCCAATCACTCGCACAGCTAAAGACGGTCGTTGGGCCGGCGTAATGGGCCACTCTTCAGCCGGCGGCCTCGGCGCCAACACCCAGCACGTCCTGTGGCCAGCAGCGCTTATGCCAGTGGCGTGGCGTGCGGCGGCGAACGGCCGGCTGCCGTCACCGGACGGTCCCACCGCCCCGCCTCAGACGCAGGTCAGGACACGGCAGCAGTGACCTGCTCCGTCAGCCGGGGATGAGGTGGTGAGCGGCCGGCTGCCGTCACCGGACGGTCCCACCGCCCCGCCTCAGACGCAGGTCAGGACACGGCAGCAGCGACCTGCCCCGTCAGCCGGGGATGAGGTGGTGAGCGGCCGGCTGTCGTCACCGGACGGTCCCACCGCCCCGCCTTAGACGCGGGTCAGAACACGGCGGCAGTGACCTGCCCCGTCAGCCGGGGATGAGGTGGTGAGCGGCCGGCTGCCGTCACCGGACGGTCCCACCGCCCCGCCTCAGACGCAGGTCAGGACACGGCAGCAGCGACCTGCCCCGTCAGCCGGGGATGAGGTGGTGAGCGGCCGGCTGTCGTCACCGGACGGTCCCACCGCCCCGCCTCAGACGCAGGTCAGGACACGGCAGCAGTGACCTGCCCCGTCAGCCGGTCCCCGTGCTCTCTATCATGATCACTAGACTATCAATGACACCGTGTCGGAGATTGAAGTTATTTTAAGTTTATTTTAAGTTCAAGATTGAAGTTATTTTAAGTTACATTATTGAAGTTAATCACGTGCGCTGCCTTTCGACCGCACGTCGTCGTAGCTCATGCCTACCGAGAAACACTCCTGCCTTGAAATCGATGATGCTCCCGGGAATCGCCCTGCCATCATTCCCAGGCCGTTCTTAGCCACCCTGCAGCGAGCGTTCGGCTGCCCGCGCGCAGCTAAACGCCCCCTGGTGCGGTGGGTCAGTGACCCGCCACCGGCCGAGGCGTCACTCGCCGGTGCACTCGCCCTGCGGTCTGTGTGGACCCAGCCGTAGTGCCACGGAGACGTCCTCGCAGCGTTAGCACGGCGCCTCTGACGGGCCCCGCACCCATCCCGCTGGACCGGCAGCTCGCGAGCCCGCGCGACGGACAAACGGAAATGCCCGGCGAGCTGCCGCGCCGCTCCGGTGGGCCGGTGACACGTAGCCGTCCGGCGTTCGTGCAGGCGGAGGAGCGCCCGGCGGCGGCGGCGGCGGCCACTCGGACGTGCAGCGGTTTTTAACCGGCCGCAGCCGACCCGCGCGCCGCAAACACGCGACCACGCCGCCCCTGCGCCGAGCACGGCACGTCTCTGCTGAGCTGCGCCTCGGTGTCTCCCCCGCCGTGGCGGTGAGGCCGGTGAACGCCGCCGCCGTCGCCACGAACACGCGACCACGCCGCCCCTGCGCCGAGCACGGCACGTCTCTGCTGAGCTGCGCCTCGGTGTCTCCCCCGCCGTGGTGGTGAGGCCGGTGAGCGCCGCCGCCGTCGCCACGAACACGCGACCACGCCGCCCCTGCGCCGAGCACGGCACGTCTCTGCTGAGCTGCGCCTCGGCGTCTCCACCGCCGTGACGGTGAGGCCGGTGAACGCCGCCGCCGGCACCGGGCCGGAGCGACTCCTCCGATCGCGCCGGGCCTAACTCCGCCAACCCGGCCGCCGCGGGCCGGCACGTGGCTCACACGGAAACCCGGCCGCCGCGTGCGCACAGAGGGCAGTCGGCGCGGGCACGACACACGTGCCCGCGGGACACGCCACGCGACGTCGCTGAGCTGGTCCGAGTCCGCCGCGCGGGGTTAACGCGCGCCGGGCGGCTCAACGGCACAGCGCTGCTGCCAACACAATGCCTGAATTTCTCAGATGGCGGTTCGCCGCGTCGGAGAATTGGCGGGTCAAATACAGCGTCGGCGGAGCACATAAAAATAAACTAAAAGAAACTGTTTGACGACATGCAGACATCTCAGTCGTGCCTAATCTGATAATTTGGGGCGCTTCTTACCATGAGCATCTGATGTGTGATGAAGCGGGGTGATAGGAGCTTCCTGAAAGCAAAAGAGACACGAGTAAACACACATCCACGCCACAGCTGGCTTCAGCGCCACGAGTTAACACAAAACAAACACCCTCCCGCTGCGCCGCCGGGGCCTCGCCGCAGAGCGGGGCGATCCGCACCGCACGGGTCGGCCCCCCTCCCCCCTCCCCCCGTCCTCAGCGCACCTTCCATCGTGGGGGACAACCTCCGAGACCCTCGCCGCGCGGCCTCGTCGGAGCAGCGTAACCGTGCCGCCTGCATAGCGTGGCCTTTGAGCGGAGGACCGGCGACCGGACAGGCGCCGTTGTACCCCTGGCGGCGCCGTTGTACCCGTGGCGGGCGCCGTTGTACCCCTGGCCGGCACCGCTGTACCCCTGGCCGGCGCCGGTGCACCCTTCGCTGTGCAGCGCCGCTGGGCCCGGCCCTGCGGCGGTGCTGCATCAGCCGGGGCGGCCGGGTGGCGCCGACGGCGAACGATCAGGCGCCGGTCGAACGGCGGGCAAAAAACGGCGCAGCGCCATCAGCCGCTGCCCGGTCCGGCGCGCATGCCAATGTCGGTAATTCGATTGGCGGCAGTTTTTATGCACGACTTGGAGAATGGAGGATGGATTGACGTTTCGCTCCGCTCTCGCCACCGTCTCCGTCTCCGTCTCCGTCTCTCGTCTAACGGCTCCGGCTCCGCTCCGGCTCCGGATCCTGTCTCCGTCTCCGTCTCGTCTCCGTCTCTGTCTCGTCCGTTGCCGCTCCCCGCCTGCCGCCTCCCTCCCGCGACCCTGACGGCCAGCCATGTTCCACAGCCAGCACTAAGCCGATCAGTGCGGCCACCAAACCGTTTACAACTTTCACTTACGGCGGCCGGGCGGCCGGCCAGGCCTGCATCAGCCCTTTCAGAGCTCGACAGGTTAGGCGCGCCAGACAGAGCGCGCCGCCTGTGTCGGTTACCCCCGCCCCCCCCCCCCACCTCACGCTACGGTATTACGTCGCGCGTGCACATGACTTTCACATGGGCGACACGTCCGCAGGCGGCGGGGCCTCCGTTTCACGACAACGGCGGCACGGGCCCCACGCGCGAGCGGGCCGCCGCACCCAGAGCGCGCGCGCGGGGCCCACCCGGCCGCCTCCCCGCCCGCCGCCCGCTCCGCAGGCCGAGCCGTGCGGCCGGCCTCGTTCGCAGCCGGCGCGGCCAAGCGAGCGAGCCGCGCGCGTTCCAGGCGGTCCGCGGACGGCCGTCGTAAAGGGCGCGTAACGACGGCGTTCAGCGGCGCATTATCGCCGCTGCAAACACGGCCGGCCACGCGGCCGTCAACACGCCGCGGTGGCGAGGAGGCCCGAGCCCGGGCCGCCGCGGCCTGCCAGACAGCGAGGCCTCGACGCCGGACGGGTGCAGTGCTGGCTGATGCCGAATGTAGAGCCCAGATGTGTCCCGCGGGCTCCGCATCATGTGTTTACAGGGTGGGCATTTTTGGACAACAATAGAGCATTTGCCAGTGCGCTATCCCAGCCGTCGCCGCTGCTGAGTCCCGCATAGGCAGGCTCACGGGGTAAACCACAGGCCCGACGCTCACAGCGAACTCCCTACCGCGACGAAACCCTGTCGCGGCCGCTCCCAGGCCCAAATCCACGACCCGGGGATGGTGGGGTCAGGACCACCGTGCTAAGCGCCTGCCCCGTCCGAGTCCCAGGCATCGCTTCTGCACGGCCAGCGCAGCCCATTACCGAAGCCCAGCGCCGACTGGACGACGTGAGCTTCCCAAGGCTGCAGTTCGTGCGGCTGCATAATGCGCTTGGCTCGGGCCAACAGTGACCAGAGCGCGCCTACTTCCTCTCTGGCCTGTGTTGCTCGGAGAGCATGGGAATGCTGCGAGAAGTAGCGAAGCAATTCAATTGCTACTCACGTTTTCCATGTACGCCACAGCTGTTCAGCTAAGAAGTTAAGTTAAGCTTCTATAAAAAGTCACTTAAGTCCACTGTCAAGCTTCTATGAAATGAAGCGGGACATTGCCCGTTAGCTTCCTGTCACTGCGCCATGTTGGCTTAGTGGAATCAGGCCCATTCCTTCACGCAATCCAGAGCATTGAGCTCTTTCCAGAAGTGGCAGCTTGCGTGCGCAGGGGTTCGCTGCCTCCAACCCCTCCCCAACTACATCCGGCCTCACCTCCTTGGCGGCGGTCTGATTCCCCCCCCCCCCCTCCCCACATCAACTACACACGAGCCTACATCGCCTGCGGCGGTCGGCGCCTGAAGCGCAGTCCAACGCGGTGCGTGCGGGAGCGACCGACCGATCGGGCCGCGGGCAAACGGCGCGCGGCCGGCGACGCCGCCCGCCTCATCAGCCGGCCGACACGAGCCAGCGGCCGCGTGCGCCCGATCTCGGCCGGGCGCCGGCCGCGTGCGGTCAATCACGGCCGCCGCACGGGCGTGCACGGGCGCCGCACGCGCCCCACAGCGGCCGTCCGGCCTCCCCAATCGCGAAGCAGGGCCGGCCATCACGCAGCGCCGAGGCCGAGGCGGCCGGCCGCTCTCCGCGTGGGGAGGAGGCAGCGCGGCGAGGTCCGCGCGACCCCGGCCGCGGCCGGTGGGAAACGGGGCAGCGGCGCCCGAGGGAGATACGTGCCGCTGCTGGGACCGTCGGCGGCCGGGCCGCCTCGGCTCTCACGGCCGAGCCCACCGACTGGACGATAACACCGCGCCAGCTGCACGGCACCCACGCCAGGGGCATTAAACACGCTGAAGTGGTCCTCAGCGGCCAGCGTCGCTACCGTTAACAGTTTCGCCCGTCGTTCTGCAAGTCCAAATCGTCGTTCGCGAAAGCGCCGTCCCACAGAGGAGACGGCGGAAGCGACCGCGACGACCCTCGTCACCTGCGGCCAATGGCGATTGCGCAACCCTGTCGTCAGCAAAACGGCCTCATCCTGCGTATCTTCCAGACTAGACGCGCTAGTCCGGGCGGCACGCAGGCGGGCGGCGCGCCAGTCAGGGGGCGGTGCGCAGCGGTCGCGGTCCGCGGAGCCCGGCAGGGTCCATCGGAGCACATCAAGGGTGAGATGGAAGCCAAACGGAGCAGCCACGCCACGATGGAAGACCGACGGGGCCCGACTAAAACGATGAATCCCGATGGGAGACCGATAGAGCCCGATGGAGCGCGACGCGAGGCCGATGTAGTCCGACGTGAGCCCAATCAAATTCGATGAGCTCTGGACGGCTGTCCAGTCGCCCCGGATGGTGGTGGCCGTAGTCACGTCGCGCAGACCAACCCGCCGACAGCGGCGGCGGCGGCGGCTTCCTGACGCTTCGCTTTTCGGAGGCGGCTGCAGCCGCTCACGACAACCCGCCATGCACGACCGCCGCCACGTTCTTCAGCCAAAATCGATACGTAAAATTCAGCGGCGCACCACCTCTCTCGCCGCCGCTGCCGCTGCCCAGCCGTCAATCGCGGCCAGATTGCGCCTGGTTGCCGAGCCGGGCACGAGATGGCAGCAGCGGCGTCGCACGGGTCGGTCCCACCAGGTGCCGATCGCCCGCCCGCCCCTGGACGGGCGGGCGCTGGGACGGCGAAGCCGCGGCCGGCCGGGCGGCCGACAGGCTCAGCTCGTCTGGTCGGCCCGCAGACGCGACGGTAACATATTCAGGCTAATCCGTTCGGCGATGAGGGCGCAAGGATTCGCACCCGGGAGCGGTGCTGATCCGCCCACGCGACCGGTGCCGGCCCATTGCGGGGTGGCTGCGGCCGCACCGCGGTGTTCAGACAGGCTAATCCGGCGGCGCTCAGGTGCGGGGGCCATGTCGCTTTCGCGGCGTGTCGGTGAGATTACCGCAAACGGGCTGCGGCGCCCGATCTCTGAGTTGTTTGACAAACTGCGACCGTCAAAATGTCTGGCTTCGGCCAGCCGGGAGCCTGGCGCTTCAGGTCGCTGGTTTCGAGCGGACGAAGTGAGACGGGACGCGCCCAAAGCAGTCGGCACAGCCCCAGTGAATGCGCACGCTAAGGCCAACACCACCAATTTGTCATATGCATTATCACCATAAGAAACAAGAGCAAATAAAGTAAGTGGGGTGACCCGACCCGACACTTTCCCACCTGATGAGGTAAAAAACCTTTCGCAGCAAACTTGCACGCCAGTTTCCGGTGTACGCTTCGCCGGAGGTACTCTCGCACGCCACCTGGCGGCTTTATGACGCCCACTGTGTTTGAACGGGAAAATTATTAAAATTCAGCACAAATAAGGTCCCTACGATTAAAGCTTTTCCGCCTACAGCCGAGAAAATTACCCCCTCATTCGCGCTTTTCGACATTTAACACTCACGATGGGCTCAAGATACGCCGACGAAGCGGAACGAAGGCCTGACCTGACACTGTGGTCTCAACAGGCGGGCATTCCCCCGCACGCTTCACGCGCCTCGCCAACTCTTTTCAGCGTGGCCGTGGGAGCGGCGCACAGCGCGAGACGCAGCCAGGCGTGCAGCTTCGCAATGCCCGCGCCGCCACTGAGCCCCACTTTGGCCCGCGTTTCGGAAAACAGCTGTAAAAACTGACAGGCCGCAGTGTGACTGCCGGCCGGCCGGGAGTCAGCCGTAAAGTCGGCCGCGGCGCAGCGTCGCACCGCCCGGTCGGCGACGCTCCGCTGCTGCCTGGTCACCATGACGACAGCAATCATTTCTCCCGAGCGAACGAGCCCTGGCCACAGCGCGAGACCACCAAATCCGGGGCACCTCCACTTCCGGAGAAACGCCAGCGCGCGCCCGGCCGCGAGAATGGCAGAGCGGTTGGAGACGCGCGAGTGGCCGTCTGGCTGCATCCAGCGACTTCAGAGAGGAGGCATGCCACTGCTGGAGCACGTGAACAGACGTGCTCTCCGTCGGCCAGACGCTGCAGCGCTGTCGCCGACAACGTCGCTGCGCCGCCCGTTCAGGGTCGCCGCCGGGCAAAATCATTAGGCTGCCCGGACAGTGTGAAATTGTGTTATCTAGCGCGCCCGCTCACGCACGCCAACGAAGCTGCCGTGGTCTCCGCAGCGCCGGGCCACTACGCCACCGAGGCAAGTCTGTCGGGCATAATAGCTGGGGCACGCCGCGTGAACGCGCCTGCAGTACGGCGCGCGACAAAGGGACGCTCGGCTTCGCGTGCGCGCCGGCACAAACACGGCAGTTACGAACCACAACAAACTGAACAGGTTGCACCGCGCCTCAAAACAGGCCCGACACGAGCCTGCCGGCCAAGTGGTACGCAGCGCCACACCCCATCGGCGGTGCACGCCAAAATAGCGTGGCCAGACGGCGTTTTTGTGCCGCGCAAGGATCCTGCAAACATATGCTATGAAAGGCTCGACACGTGCGACGGACATTGGCTCGCCGCTTGCCATCCCCTCCCCCTCCCCCCCCCACCATACCAAAGACCTTGACCCAGTGCTGACCTTGCCGGCCGAGCTGGGGAACTGGAAGGGCGGCGGGTTGACCTTGAGCGGGGTGACCAGCGCCGAGACGGGCACCCGCATCTCCTGCAGGATCGTCTCCACCTCCGGCCGGTCTCGCTGCGGGAGGGAGGCCACGTCAGTACCGGCGGGCCGCCACGAATACACACACCGCTTGACGAGCGAGTCCGCACCGACCAATGGAAAACAGGAGGCACGGCACGGCCGTACACAGCTGGGCCGCAGATACTTCACAGACGGCGGGAACGACACGAACGACACAACGACACAGCCGGTAATCGCGACGCCGGGCTTGTGGCTTCGCAACAACACACGTCCGATGTACGAGCAAGGACAGACACAGCACCGCACACACATTCCACTAGAGCAGTGTTATCAAGTAACAACAAACCGGCCAAACTGCTACTGTCAGCTAGCGGCTGCAATCCGTCCTCGTCTCTTTCCCCTCCCCCCACTGTTGGGTTTACCCCGCGAGCACGCAGCCACCCGACAGCCGTGCCATTTCCGGCATCCGCCTCGCACTTTGTGCCGGGTACCCCGGCTCTGGGCGCCAACCAGGGCGCCGAGCCGCCCACCATGGTCCGGTTATCCGGCGGGCGACGGCTAAAGGGCCGGTCTCAACCCTCAGACGTCTCATGTACGTCTCCGTCTGCGTCTCCCAGGGCCGGAGACGGCCGGGTGTCTGGGAACGGGCCGCGCACTGACGGATGGCGTTCAGGTGGGCGAGGCCGACTGGTGAGGAGGTGACGGTGAGTCACGGGCGCAGGAGGACGATGGTGGGGAGTCACGTAGTCAGAGGTAGACGAGCAGAGACCTTGAGAGCAAGCGAGCCGGGGAGGTAATGAGCAATGGCCGCGTGCGCACCTAACGGAACCGACAAACTCGAGCCTGGGCGAAACAGAGCGACGAAAGGAAGAGACAAAAGGGGGGGGGAAGAGTAGAAAAGATAACGAAAAAGAGGGAGGGAGGATGGAGACAGGAGGCAGGAAAGTGGATGCCAACAAAGTAGAGCAGACATACAGAAACCAAGGAGACAGAGGGGAGAGAGGACCAGAGAGAGCGAGTAAGTGAGTGAGTGAGTGAGACGAGAAAGAAAGAGAAAGAGAAAGAGAGAGAAGAGAAGAGAAGAGAAGAGAAGAAGAGAAGAGAAGAAGAGAAGAGAAGAGAAAGAGAAAGAGAAGAGAAGAGAAAGAAGAGAAGAGAAAGAGAAGAGAAGAAGAAAGAGAGAAGAGAAGAGACAGAGAAGAGAAGAGAAAGAGAGAGAAGAGAAGAAAGAGAAAGAGAAAGAGAAGAGAGAAAGAGAGAAGAGAAAGAGAAAGAAAGAGAAAGAGAGAGAAGAGAGAGAGAGAGAGAGAGAGAGAGAGAGAAGAGAGAGAAGGAGAAAGAGAGAGAGAGAGAAGGGAGCAGAGAATGCAGAGAAGAAGAGGTGATAGGATGAGAGAAGAAGATGACAGAGAAGAAGGACGAGAGGATGAGATAAAACGAGAAGAAGAAGGAAGAGAGAAGAGACGAGATAGAGAGAGAGAAGAGAGAAGAGAGAGAGAGAGAGA